ACTTGTGACCGCCTGGGTGCCCTGTTAATGCATGACGTGATAATACTGCCAATTAGAGAGCAATGAATTGTTGATTGAACCAAAGACACACGAAAACCGTACGAGTAGTCTAGAGTACTTGTCGGTCTTGCTTTCTTCCTAGCCCAGTCAGTTAAGTCCGAAACACCAATCTCAGCCTCTGCAATATGAATCACTATTTTCAAACATACTGAGTTTATATACCAATCAAACTGACCACATCGCACCATGAAATAGAAAAATAACATTTGTACAGGATTTAGCCAAAAGAGGCTGTAAATGTGGGAAACAGTAATTAATAGACTAGGAATAACTCAAGAACGGTAAATCTTATAATAATAGTTCATGAGTCAAATAATAACAAGAGGGACGCAAATATGAATAGTTTAGTTAGTTAACAACTATACAATAAAAATACATGCATAGTATTGGTTCATAAATAGATCCCAAAGTCATCACTCCTTATACTTATCGAGGCGTAACACTCTCGACCAAAACCAGCTTAATAGAACTGTCGAATAATTAGTTACCATTAATGATCGTCATAATGAGAAATTATTTTTCACTAAGTTTCATTACTTCAGAAATTCAAATTTTGATTACATAACTTTTTTTACTATTAATCTTCTAAATTTGACGGTATTTTAATTCAGTAATTATAATTATTACTCCTTATGAAAAATGAAACAGACTTATGTATGTTTCAATGAAATTCGTAATCATTATCAACATCGTCTTTCTACATAGTTACAATATTCATGAGTGAAAATTTATATTACTAACTTAACAAGACTGAATGGATTTAAATGATTATGAGTAAATTAGTGGTAAAAGATTCCTTAGTTTTTAAACACTTCCTTAATTTAGTACACTAATGGTGCAGATTGAATTGTGCTAATAAGTTCTTAAAAAAAGCTAGAAGTATCAAACAATCCAAATAAGATTTCTTTACTATAAGTGGTAAATTTCATTGGCTAATTTGAATTCTAATTGACGTGAGATTAAACACTGTTTAAAATATGTTTGGACTGTAAACATGTTAATTTCAGACTTCATTTGTTAATAAGGTTTATGTTAATAATAATTGTAGACATGGAAAACATATACTTACACGAGTTTAATACCGTACTGTACTACAATGTTAATGAGGCTTTTATTTTGAAAACATACTATACATAGCAAGAACACCATACTTTTAGTTTAAACCACAAAATACTTCTAGATTATTATGAATTTTACTGAATTTATATTTCTGTTATATCGTGTGAACTCGTAATTATATATGAACGTGCAATTAGAGAGGAGTGAATTTATTGATCGGACGCAAAAGATACTCGAAATCGTACGACCAGTCTTGGGTGCTATTCGGTCCTTCCTATCTGCCTAGCCCAGCCAGTTGAGTGCAGAACACAAATAACCGCCTCGGCAATATGAACCATTATTTACAAACACACTGGGTTTTTATACAAACCAAAGTAATCAATAAACTGATTATAACTCAAGAATCGTATGATGATGAATCAAAGATCAAAATAAAGCTAATGATAAAAGAAAACACGAATATGATTAGTTTAGTTACGTAACAATTGTACAATAGGAAATAGGCATAATACACTGGTCGATAAATAGTCCTTAGAGTTACCATTCATAATTCACCAGGGGATATAACAATTTCGTTTTACCGTGACGATAAATAAATAAATTTGGAAACATTTTCTATTAATATTAACTTATTTTTTTTCATCAGAATTGCGCGTGCTGGAGATTGTAATAATAATCATCATGTGTTTTCTAGTGACTGGCTTCAAGAGGTATTTTCTGGAGTTCTAGTGAGAAGCAGTGATCAGTGGAGTTCAACCGCGTCCATTGTGAGGCAGTTACTAACTAAAGACAATGATGGGCGAATTATCGCGATTTGGTTAAAGTTTGACATTAAAACCGTTGGATGGCATCTCAGTGGTCTAGATGTTAAGCGTTCGCTCGTGAGATCGGTGGTCTTTGGTCTAAGTCCCGTGTGTAGGATCGTGGATTCCCACTTCTGAGGAGTCCCATACTAGAAGGAAACAGCCGTCCAGTGCTTCCAGGTTTTCTATGGTGGTCTAGCTTAAATTGACTCATGTATTCAACTATTTAATTACCTTTCTTGCTAATGTTCCTTGACAATTTTGTTTTTTATCTGTGCCTCGAATATAATTTTCAAGATTCGTTTTAAACTTAATAACATTATAACTTACTCAACGAAAAATTGACTACTCATTTTGAATATGCTGTTAAGAGTTCACCTCACTTTGACCTAAACAAGATATAATAAATATGACTCAAAAATAATACATAGCCTTTATGTTAAACTAGTTCTTGTTTGTAAACTGTACTTTAGTTTAACAGTCAAGGAGTAAGCGATTATCTTATTGCATATATCCATCAGTCTGGACAAATGTATAGGATGAATAGTCAGTAATATCTGTTTTTATCTAAATTCGAAAATTTCCCCTCAATTCAAATGATCAGAATCCTTCGAAAAACCTATATACAAAGAAATCTTTACTATATTTTGGATAGAAGTTATGACATTTGAGAGAATAAAATGTGAGATATTTAATTTCTCCGTATAAACTGAGAAAAATTTGAGAAGCACTATATTAATAGTTATTTTTGTTCATATTCCTAATATAATATACTGAAATTACAATCAAAATTCCTGTGTACTATGTTTAATTATGTATATTTACTGAACATGGACTGTTAAGTGTGCCTTCCTTCATTAGTTGGTCATTAAGAAAATTAATCTATTATTTCATTATGTTTACAACTATTTAACTTTTAAATCATTCTACCATTTATCAAATCTTGGTGTATATATCAACTAGTAATACATATTACATATTTACTGAAAAATATTTCGTTTTGTTTACTACAAATTGACACCTTACGTTTCTAAGTTTTTCCTTTACTAATCAATTCTTTTGAATCTATGTTGCCGTTATGAATTTTCTTTAATTCCAATATTTTTATTTACATTAACTGGTTTCTGCCTTCACCTGTAGTATTGTGGTGTAGTCTACGTATATCCATATAAGTAGAATATAACGATGGTCAGACATAGAATATATTTTGTCAGAAGATCGATAAGGAAAGAACCAGAATAAAGCGCAATCGTTACGAAAATGCATGAACAATGAAATCAGAGAAGATGAAGTGATATTTGCAGAAGGAACAGTCAAGATTGAGACAATTGCTTAACAGTTTGCAAATCAACTGTTGACTGATTTGTTATTAGATTTTAGTGAGATAGTCTTTACTTTGTGCTTAAATACATTCGATTATCCCCAGTCGTGTTCTCATTTGCTACATTATTGTTGTGGTAACAGTTGAAATTCACATTTCAATATTTGAGATTTGTAATGTTTGCATTACTTCTAGATTTTTCATCATGTAATAATGTTAACAGCTACTTTCCTCTTCAACGTCTATCGATACTAAACTGCAACAGTTGGGAGCTAGTTTAATGTTTAAAAGGTAAACATACTAAAATACAAAAAAAACAATTTCTCTGTGATATGCGACGTAAACGTCGTATCAAATTATTTGTTTATGTTGAAAAGTAGCTATATACGCCACCGTCACAAACAATAAAAATCACTTTGAAAACAAATCTATTCTTTTGTAGTGTAGTATTTACTTAACTAGATGGTTTAATTATGATGAAACCATTTATTCCTAAGGGAATGGTATTATCAAAAGCATCCTTATGAGCTAGAAACCTTATCGAACACTTCACAAATTTCTAAAATAAAAGTCAAGAAATTAGTTAAATTATTAGTAGTAAATATGATAAAATAAAACAACAAGGGGTTTAAAATTATCAAAACAATCTAAAGAATCTTAAATACAAATGTGAGTAACGCACATATATCTAAACCGACCGTAAACTTTTACACACACAATACAATTATAACACAACATGAAAGTCATTCTAATGAAAAACAGCTTCAAGTAAATCATCATATACATGTGATTTAATGAAACAAAGGCATTTATTAACAAATACGATTTCCGTTTTTAATGTTAAATTATAATATCTTCATAAAGCTACATTGATTGTCACGCACATGAAATATACTATAGTTGATATTATTTTCAAGGGAATAAAATGAATTGATATTTATTCTCTGAGGTCATTAGAAATAAAACACGAATTAAATTTATTATTAAAGAAAAGTTTTTTTCAACGTTAGTTTAATTTCACTTTTTTTAAAAACTTCTTTTTTCTTAAAATATCGAAGAAAATTTATAAACTTGAATAATTAGAGGAAGATATTTTACTATGGTATTGTTTAAATTATTCATAAGGTTATAAGCAATATCGAGGCAATACACATAGTATGCACATATGCCAATAAGAGACTGGACAGTTGCAGTCCTAACTTATCAATGGGAAGATTCAAACAAACAATACAAAGTGGATTATTCATAAGGTTTTTCTTTCCTGATTTTTGTTTACTAGTTGCTAACGTACGTTATTCTCTTTTTTTTCATAAAAATATTCAACATTATAAGTAACGTTTTCTAATGATTAAATCTAATTGAAGTCTCAGTGATAATAATTTATAGTTAACAAATATGAAAGTATATCATTTATTCTTAATCAAATGAATATATTTGGATGCGCACTGTTGGGGAGTCCTATAATAGACGAAACAGCCATCCAAGTTTACCATAGTGATCTAGCTTCAATTGACTCATGATTTCAACTATATAAAATATATCTTTTATTAAAAGTCATTTTATTGGTAGATTAAATGATTATATTTTAGCCAATTAAATTATGCTACTTTTATAATGAAGATTATAAAATTCTTTATAATATATATTTTTCAGTAGTTAATAAAATTAAATCTAATTTTATCATTTTAATGAATAAAATATAATTATCCTAATTCATTTATTTATTTATTATTTATATATTTTAAAAAAATATCGTTATGTTGAATGATCAATTAAATACATTTATAAATGTTACTGAATCTGAGGATTTCAATTTAAGTCTAAAATATTATAATAATACAGAGGTATTGACAAATAAAAAGGATGTTATTATAGATGAATATGTGAGTTATTTCATAATTATATTTACGTATATATGTTTTTAACAACTGTCATAACTTCAGAACGCATCTGAACTTGTCAACTCGTTACTTTTTGAAAGTCTATTTCTATAATTTGTTTTTCAACTACTTTTATTAGCCGATTTGATCGATAAATGAATCCGAAGAAGTACATTATACTACAGACAATAATCAGTACTGCCATCTTAGATGTAAATAACTTTCATCCTAAATGTTCGTTTTTTTCAAAATAGATCAATTGGTTGTGCTACAAAAAAAAACACGGAACCTTAGTTCTCAAATCAAAGATTAATAATCAGATTAAATATTTAACCACTCTGTTTAGCTATCCTTGAAGGTAAACATGTCGGCTTTTGAAAAGAATTGTTCAGACTGCTTTACAAAAATGATAATGAAATAGATGAATTAAACATGTAAACCACAATCAGATTGTAAATATAAAATAAACTGGAAATTCATGAAGGAACATGAGGATAAGGTAAATAGTGACTACAATCTTAATAAGTGCGAAAAATAAAAAAAATTTAATGAAGAATCCATACTATCAGTACAGTACCTTAATATCTAAAAATAAAACAATATTAGGTGTAAAATCATACATCGGAAATTTTACTGACTGGAAGAAATAATAAAAATAAAATGAAATATATTTATTAATTGAGTTCTCCCAAGTATGTGATGGCAGAAAATTATCCAAATTGGGTATAAATTAAAAATACTCCAAGGTAAAATCAGGATAATAATTAAAATACCGTCATTGTTAATATCCACGTTACCAGTGGTACAAATGGAAATTACAACTAAAACTTTTTATTTATAAGCCATTTCTAAACGGCAAAACCAATGATAAACGTGATAGATTTTTGCTCATATATACAGAAGATCGGTCGCTTAACGTTTTTTGTATAAAATCAAATCTTTGCAGAGTGTTTTGGTCCCTTCAAAGTAGAGTTTTTGTCCCAATTGAGATGATTTCAATGAAATCAATTGGTTATAACTAGTCATATTTAGGTTCAAGGACAAGCTTGTACAACTTACAGCGAAATTGTCTTGATAGATCTTATGACGTAATCATCATACTACAAGATCAACATTAATTTCATGACCAGCTAATTGATATTGTATAAAACAATCCGCTTTAATATCAAACCCGAATGTAACATATTCACAATATTGATTACAAGAATTTTATAACTAGGTTAAGTTTTACTTTATTGATAAAACCTTTCTTCTAACCAGTAGATATTAAATATTATTGAAATGTCGTTAATGATTATGTACAAATGATTAATAATGATCAGTTTTGAATTTACACAATGGTCACAAATTATAATAAAATTATCTCACTATACTCAAAACTTTCATAGTTTAAGATCAAAATATATTTCATCAAATAACTGTAATTTGATTTAAAATATTGATAAGTAGCGTGGGAATAGTATTCTCTTAGTGACTAAAATGAATACACGATGTAATTTTTAGTTTCAATTTCCTAACATTGTTAAGCAGAGACAAATGGACCCACAATAATAAACTGTTTAACAAGTGGTTGATTTTTTTAATCAAGCTTTGACTACGTATATATATATATTTACATGTCATAATACAGATGTATATGAGACAATTAATTCAAACGACTGACTTAGTCTAATTTTAATAATATTTATGAGATAACTGTTTTTGATGAATGAATGACTTCAATTATTTGCTGACTTAAAACAAAACGTAAACATTTTTTTCTTTATAAATATAAATAATGCCCTATGAATGGCTAAGATGATTTACAATTTGAACCTTACATTACTTTGACAACCAGCACAATAACTCAGCTCTAAAACAAAATAAACTATAGACGTTTAAAAAGAAATTCCCTTTAGTATCTTGTATTAATATTTTTGTTACCAAATTACCTCATTGTGAAACATTTTATTATAGAGCACATATCGGAAATGGGGACACAGATTTTACAGGAAACCATTCAGTCAAGCACCCAAAACAAACTCTAAAAGTTAAACATTATTGAACTGGGTATGTAGTTCAATGACTTAATAAAAAAAAGTTTTTCAACTGGTATGTCCTAGAAGTAAATAAGCGTTTATGTTAAATTTCTCTTGAGTAATGTTCATAAATAAATTACCAAGATTGTTCCAATCGTTTATTCAGTTTAATGTGAAAAACGTTTCACAATTAATATTATTAATTGTTTTATGCGTTAGCTAGAATGTCTTTACGGATTTAAATTACATCCAACTTACCTTATATTGCTGTTCAATTGTCTGGCTAAACAGATAATTTAAATGAAAAACAAGAATTACACTCATTGTGTGGTGTGGGTTACTTATATCCACATAAGTAGTATATAACGATGGTCAGACATAGAATATATTTTGTCAGAAGATCGATAAGGAAAGAACCGGAATAAAGCGCAATCGTTACGAAAATGCATGAACAATGAAATCAGAGTAGATGGATTGATATTTGCAGAAGGAACAGTCAAGATTGAGACAATTGATTAACAGTTTGCAAATTAACTGTTTACTGTATGGTTGTCAGATTTTAGTGAGATATTCTGTAATTTTGTGCTTAAATACATTCAATTGTCTCCACTCATGTTCTTGTTCACTACAATTGTATGCCTAATCAGATTGATTCCCTATTGCCTATCAATTAAACCCGTTTTTGTTTATAATTGTCATCTCAATAAAGTAATAAGGCGCTAAATGTAACATTTTATTTTACTTTCATTATCATAGTCCCTTAGTGCATATGCATCAATCAGAAAAAGAAATTTCAACTTATTATCATTAATTTATAGAATAAAAACTAAATGTATATTTTAATAACATTTTATTTAGATAAGATAAAAATCGTTCAAAAAATTTACTATCAAAAACATGTATTAGAATTAGGTCATTATGATTTTTGGTTTACAGTAAAATGATTACACTATAAATTGCTAATTTGCATTTATATTACAAAGATGGTTTTTATTGATAGATTTTAATAAAACCTTTGAAACATCTAAATACTAACGTTATCAAGAAGATTTTGAGCATCAAATACATTGAATAATAGTTTCAAAAATAACAGAGTGAACTTTCAGGAATTAACATTACTAGGAATATCTCCTGATATTTGGTTTCGTTCTTTATATTAGGCAAAACTTAACACAGATAAACGATTAGTTATATGCTTTTATAAATTGAAAACATAAGAATAAAATTGGACAGTTCGTTGCTCACACTTGTAGAGCTCTCGATTTTCTTTTTTAAAACATGATAAATACCATTCTTAGAAGATACCAGCGACAGGTGATACTAATATTATAACATCGCATGCATATAAATAGTCTTCCAATTTATCAACATAAAAGGTTTAGATCAGTATAAAAAAGCTTTCATTTTTAAATAATAAGAAGAAGCATACTGAACAGTTTTTCAGATCTTTAGTCCAAAGAGTAGTACTACATAATGAAAACAGTCTTTTCATGTCTGGAAGTTATCCCTAGGTTCGCTGATTACTAGTGGTGATTACATTTGAATATTATTTTGGAGAAATCTAGACAAAGTTCTTGTAATTATATATTTAATAAACTCAAGGTAATTCCAGAAGAAAAATCGAAATCTATATATATATTGAGATTTATGTAAAGCAAATATAATTTTACCGGACTTATCAGATTATAATAATTTTTTCAAATGCTGTGGTGAAGCCAACCTTAGTTCTTACACAGTGTTTTTTATTCTTATTTTGAAGTAGCTCGTTTTTATAGACGATAATTTATATTAAGACAGTTGAGATCATGGGTTAATTTAAGCTAGACCACCATAGAAAACCGAGAAGCACTAGACGGCCGTTTTGTTCTATTATGAGGCTCATCAGAAGTGCGCATCCATTTTTCCGTCTCGCGAGATTCCAACCCAGGACCTATTAGTTTGGCGTGCGAGCGCTCAACCTCTAGATCACTGAGCCTACCAGCAACCAACGGTGTTTACGTCTAACTTGAACTAATCCACGAAATTGAGCAATCGCCCACCATTTTCTTCAATTAGTAACTATCTCACAACAGACCCGGTTGAACTACATTGGTCACTGCTCTCCACCAGAACTCCAGGAAATACTCTTGAAGTGGGATCTTATTTAGCCAAACGCAACAAATAAGAATTGTTACTATTATATTTGGATTGTTTTTTTGTGAATTATTATTTTTATTCAAAAGAATGGTGACATGTCCTTATAACCGTTGTTTAAAGGTAATTGCTCAGGACATAACCTTGCAAGTAGAGTATTTCATGTCTTTAACTTACATATCATATGTATTCTGTAGATTTCCTATCAGTATATTTGAATGTGAAAATTTGTGTGGACATGTTGTTTCATCTAAAATGTCAGAAACATATACCTATAGTTTTATTATTATATTTGTTCGTTGTATTTCCTAATTGTATAATAAGGTCAGATATATATCAACATAATATGTACCTTGGAATATAACTTTATTCAATACGTTTGAAAGATGTTTACAAACTAAAGTAAAATGCTATTCATTTGAGTTGATGTATACGACTGTATCCGTTTAAAGCATCGATATACATTTTTTTTAGGTTCGTTGATCATATATCAGTTATATAACATTTTATTGTGACTTCAGGTAACAAATGGAATAGTATTACATTTCTTAATTTCATATCACACTTCAAACCTAAAAATTACTTTTAATGCTTTTGACTAATCATTGGATCTTACAGAAAACTTTTTATAAGAGAATGAAAAGCTTGAAATCCATAACTTTAACGCTGTAGATAACAGTGAACCAAATTTTCATTTTCTTCCTAGTTTAGAGCGATTCTCAAACCGACACAAAGAATATGCGAATGATTGTCAGATAATAAGTATTCACTTTGAAAAACTATGAGATAATCCAAAAGATATTTTCCAGAGTTCCCAAGTATTTGCTACCAAGCCTTTATATTATGATGTAA